GGAATTTATAAGTACATTTAAATCAATAATGTCAACAGCAAAATTATATTGGGGTGGCCACAGGGGTGGCCAGAGTTTACCGTGGGGTGGCCGTGGCCACCCCTGGCCACCCCTTGGGGGCGCCCCTGCCCTGGTGGGTCTCTTTGAGCGAGGACTTACTCTCTCAGGGATAGGTCACCATCTGACACCCTCACCCAGATCTGTGAAACCTTCATGTGTGGTCCATAGATGCGAGGAAGACTTAGGTAACCTACCGACTGCGGTGGTTAATACCATCACTCAGGCTAGAGCCCCCTCTACGAGACATGCCTACGCCCTGAAGTGGATTCTATTCACTGAGTGGTGCACTTCTCGCAGAGAAAACCCCCGATCTTGCCTGATCAGTGTTGTGTTTTCTTTCCTTCAGGACAGGTTGGAGCGAAGGCTGTCGCTCTCCACACTAAAGGTTTACTTGGCCGCCATTTCCGCTCATCATGATGCGGTGGATGGCGGCACTGTGGGGAGGCATAACCTCATCATCCAGTTCCTCAGAGGTGCGAGGCGATTGTTTCCACCCCACTCCCCTCTCATACCCTCTTGGGATCTCATGGTAGTGCTAATGAGCCTACGTGAGGATTCCTTCGAACCACTCGATTCAGGCCCCGTTTACACTAGTGCGTTTTAGTTTGAAAACGCATAAGTTTTGCTACGGTTACGCCATCCGTCCACACTACGCCGGAGTTCTCGAGCGCCGAAAACGGAGCTTTTTGAAAACGCTGGAGAGGCCGTTTTCATTCTAAAACGCTGCTGCTCCGTCTCAGTGTGGATGGGGAAAGACGGAGACATCTGAAAACGGAGGCGGGGCTGGAAACGTTCGCCTATCTGATTGGGGCTTTTCCTCAATATTAAGTAGCCTACACACAGTTCAGTCTCGCATCCTCTTCATGTAAGTTAAGACTTCGCAAGTTTGAGCAAGGCTGCAGTCTCCCCCTTCTCAGTTTGATATGGAAAACATACCGAGGACATGGGTAAATCTTCAAAGGGAACAGTGTACTTTATAACTTCATTCACATCACCTTGGCTACGTTGTTTCACTTTCTCAACAATAAAATGTAAACATGATTTAAGGAACTGCCTATTTTCTTTTTAATATTAGCAACTTAACAGACAGCAGAAATGTTGAGGCGCCGTGCTGCATCGATGAGCGTCATCTTCACTGTGTGGATATTTATAACAAAACAGAGCCTATAACAACTGCCTCCTTTCAATTTCAGTGAAAATACGAAACGCACCCTCTCTTTTGCTGAATATCAGTTTTAATAATCGATAATTATAAAAGTATAACATACAATAAGTTTATACATTGTAGGAAATAAAGGCAAGCGATCAGTCAATGTACCTGGATTAATCATTAACTTATCTTTGCGCTTAACCAAAACATGTCACCCGTGAACAAGTAACTTAATAGATTCCAATGACCAAAGTCAGGGAATTGGCCTATGTCGTTAGATAAAGACAACAACATGAATGAAATATCACGTTCAGCAAATATAGTGAGATTAGATCCAGCGGGAGATGCTTGATGAGCAGTCCGACAAGCAGAGCTTTCATCTGGGTAGAAATGCTGGAGCGCTTGCCCGAGAGTGTGTGTGTGGTCACGTGATGTGCGTTTTCAGCGTTTTGGTGTGGACGGAGAGCTGTTCAGAAACGCTGGGTAAAACGCGAGTGTGGACGCGGATCGTTTTCATTCTACAACGCCGTTTTAAAACTAAAACGCACTAGTGTAAACGGGGCCTCAGTATCCTTGAGATATCTGTCCTTGAAGACAGCTCTGCTGGTCGTGTTGGCATCGATTAAGAGGGTTGGGGACCTGGAGGCATTTTCGGTCAGTGACTAGTGCCTAGAATTCGGACCGGCCTACTCTCATGTTGTCCTGAGACCCCGGCCCGGCTATCTGCCCAAGGTTCCTACCACGCCGTTTTAGAATCAGGTAGTGAGCCTGCAAGCGCTGCCTGTGGAGGAGGCAGACCCAACCCTTTCATTGCTGTGTACTATTTGCGCTTTGCGAATTTATATGAAATGCACTTAGATCTTTAGATCCTCTGACCCGCTCTTTGTCTGTTAGGGTCACCTAATACATTTGCAAGGTTTTACAATCTGCGTGTGGAGCCGGGTTCCTCAAGGGTATTAGGTAACCCTTGGTGATTGACGAAACAATTCGGTTGAGGTGTTGAAACACGCTTGCTGCGCTATTCTCCCTAACACGGAGATGCGTGCGATTTTTCAACTTTGTCAGTTCAGATCCCCATTTGGCGAACCCTGCAGAGTTCCTCCGAGGCCCCCAGCATCTGACTCAGCAAAGGAGTCAGGTGTTGGCTCGTTACATTGTCGGCATGCCCGCTGGTCAGCCCGCATTCTGGGTATAGGTGCCTGCTATGTGTGATCCGCGCTGGCGATCCCATAAGCTAACTCAACCTCGGTTTAGTCCCCCCTTTTTTAAGACTGGTTTGTGTCTTCCCTATTCGCTATAAAGTAACCCTTCGTTCCCTGAGGGGGGGGAATGGAAATGCTATGTTCCTTTTGTCCCTGCTGTTGAGCGTGAAAGTCTCTTCAGCTGGAAAAGGATGGCGAGCATTGCACTAGCTGTGTCTTTTTAGTATGACTGATTGTCATTGACGCCAGCTGTGCACGCTGACGCCAACTCATTTGCATTTCTATGGCCCGATTTTATACTTTTTCAGATGATTGGTTCCTGACGAAATCCCCATAGTGGAGGTTTCCACATACCATTTCCGTTCCCCCTCTGGGAACGAAGGGTTACTTTAGTAACCATAGCGTTATTAATGAGCTATAGAGCAAAAGTTTAGTGTCATCATCCTGGTCAGGTTGTCTTTTCATTTAAGACAGAGCCGCCCGCTGAGTCTCCTTCATCATCTCCCAGCACCTCCTCTTCTCTCTCCTTCCGCTTTATTTAAAAACATATCAAGTCTCTTTTCAAAGAGATTTGCAGTTCCCAGTTGTCAGAAACACACACATCATTCACACACACTCACATTCTCTTTCTCTCTTAAGGCGAAGCACTGCAGGCAAAACACAGTTTTTCATGCACCTGTCAGATTGGAGATGTTGGGCTTTTTGGATTTTTATTTTTTCAGCCAAGAAAACAATGAAACATGCAGTTTAATTTCAATACATAATTTTAAAGGCTGTTTTCTCAAAATGAGTTATTTTTTTCCTGCACTGTGCCATGTATTTACACTTTAGCAACGTTTACAATAACTTAACAATGTTATTATATATACTCCAGAGGTTTTTACAGAAAGATTTGTTCATACTAGTTTGCAGGATTTTTTTTTAAAAAATGTAATTATTTAATTATGTTTTATTTTATTTTATTATGTAATTATGTTTTTAATATTTACAACGTTTAATTCAACCAATTTTTACTGAGTTATTGAGCAATTGAAAGAGATTTCCAAAAATGACCTCTGTAAAAACAAATGGATCAAATGTTCAGATTTCTGTGATAGAATACAGATAGAATAACACCATATTGAAAATATACACTGTGATATTATGTTTTTTGGTAATATTTTGTAATTTTTTGTTTAAATATTGAGATATGAGTACAATTTCACTAGAGATGGCTTTAATAGCTCTATTTGGAAAGAATTTGTTCAATTAGATTGATTGGGATAATTCTGAAAGGGACTGAATCATGCATAAATTATAATAAAATAATTACAAGCATAGACTGTAAAAATGAATTATATACTTAATAAAATCAGTAAACCCTTTGCATTAATAGAGAAGTTTACTTTTCTTAAAAAACTGAGTAAACCTATTGTAACTTTGAACAGTTAAGTTGATTTAACTAATATAATTATGTACATAGATGGAGTTAGCTTGTTAACAAAGGTTCGTCAGTGGGACCACGCCTCACTTTACCTCACTTAACCAATCACCTACTCCCTAAAACTTATTTAAGGCAGACCAGCCCTCTAGCACTGTTCTTCTCGTTCTCTCGAACCCACCCTCTCTCCCTCTATTTCTATTTTCTCCCTTTATTTCACTCTACCAAAATATTACAGAGACGGTACTTCCACTCTCAGTCTCTGGTCATCATCGTAGGATGCCCGGTCAACCTACCTACCCGTTCGCTTTTTATCTTCTTACTTCTGTTTCCCTTCATCCCACTGTTTTCTTACCATCCCTTTCATCCCTACATCCCTACAATAAAGTCTAGCTCAAAGTGTGGAGTTATATATGCTGGTGAATTAATTTAGGGCAACGAGTTGACTCACTTTTTTAGGTTAAGTCAGCTAATTGTTTTTAAAGCAACAGGTTTACTTACTTATTTTAAGTCAACTAATTATTTTTTATAGTGTAGATAAATACTTTACAGCAAATATACAAATGGGATAAGCAGCGCTTTACTGGATTTTGGGGAGTCCTAATTGTATTCACTTACATTAAATTGAATAATCAAATGTAAAATAATGTATAGTATTTATCATATCATGAATTAAATAAAATGAACTGATATTAAATTTACAAACGATGCAATTTCTTGTGCCTGAATGCTTTAAAATAATGCTTCATTTTCAGTTAAGTCCTTTGAAAATGTACAACTTTAAAAAGATGGCTGGCACCCAACCCAACCCCTAAACCCTACCGGGGGATAAGCAGTTTATACTAAATTTTAATGAATGATATAGTACGAATTCATACAAATTAGCAACCGAATCAAAAAGTTATGAATTGCCATGCAGATGTGTTGAATAAATCCTATAAGAAACAACAGTATGCTGAAAACTATTAGTAATATATTTTAAACCCTATTCACCTGTACTGTCTTGCTTTGAAGCACAAAGCAGTGTAATTGAAAGGCTTGACTATGGCTAGCTGTGACGCGATAAATGTCCCCCTCTGGCTCTTTCCCAGAACAGCACCTTTGATTCAGGTTTTCAGTCACTTTCAAGCAGGCCTCTAATGTGTGCTTTCTTGTTTTGTGCCCGCAGCCCATCAGCAATGCAGACTTTATAGTCCCTGTGGAGATCGACGGAACAGTTCATCAGGTACTGTGCAAAAGGCTTTACATGCAGCCATGAGTAAATGTTCAAACAGATTATTAACAAAGCTCTTAGCCACCTTGAAATTCAAGGGTGTTTAGAACTTGAAATAAAGGAATATTTGGGGTTCTAATCAAGTTAAGCTCAATCATATAAAAGCTTCTTTTTGTTTCATGATAAAAAAATGCATGATAAAAAATACTTTACATTTTGTTCACAATTCTTAAGGTGCATCTGAATCAGCACTCTTGTTTAGTAGTCAGTGCACTGATCAGGTCATCAGCCATTTTAAGTGCTGACTCAATTGCAACATTTTCACTGTAACGTTCGTGCACATAAAACTCCCACAATGCACCATGAAAATCAGACCAAATTCAGGCATTAATGTGTGCCCTTAATGGGTTTGAAACCCCTAAATATGAGTCATGACTAGGCCCACATGGAATCTGTGCACACAGAAATCCGCAGATTTACACAGATTTTTAGCCTGTCATGGAGTCTACTTAATTACTTGTGTAATTGTGTACAAATTTATGTTAATTTAGTTTTTTAATTAATTTGAGTAATATTATTGGCTAATATAAAATGTTCATATGATTTATTTACAATACAGTTTGTAAAGTCATATTTTCTATCTTTAAGTTGTATATTATATAAGAGACTTGCTTTGTTTACCAAATAAGTGGATCTAATTGGATTTGCATTGTAAATATTAAATAAAAGTTAAAAATGTATTATATGTTTTTTTTTCATATATTAAGTTTTTAGTTATGATACTCCCAAAATCATTTTGCATAAATCTGTAGATTTTTTACAAAACTCTCTGCAAAAATAGCAAAAAATATCCACAGATTCTGTCTGGCCCTAATCATGATCTAAATCATCAAACGTAGTGAAAAAAAGAGTCTCTCTAAATGCAATCCATTATTTATGTATTGTTCTTTTATACGCTGTCTTTTTTTGATTTTAGTAACTTTTAACTTTTAGAAACTTTGAATTAAAGTAATTTAGAAATTAAAAATAAATAATAAAAAAGGTTACAAATATATACATAAATGCATGTAGATACACACATTACAAAGGTATCAAAACAATGATATATCCAGCCTGATCTCATAAAGAAACTTTTTTACGTTTTACTATTTTGTTTTGTCAGTTAAGTGGCTAATTCATACATATTTGTATACAGTAAGTTCAGTCATGAAAATGTATGACTTTTGAAAGGAGGCGTGGCACCCAACCCCATCTCTAAACCCAACCGTTATTGGGGGATAAGCAAACTGTACGAATTAACTTGTACTAATTCATATGAATTAGCCACTAAATCAAAAAGTTAAACATTTCCATGAGACAGTGTTGGTATATCAGGTGGCACAACATACAAATAATACAAAGACAAAAGATTTGTATAAATCTACAAGGTGATTCCATATGTTAAAAATCTTATCAGGTTTTAACTATATATACTGTACATTAATTTTTCTAAAGCAAACCATTATTTATGTATTGTTTACATGAACAAACATAGTTAGACAGGTTAGGAACAATCTAGCAAACATTTAGAATTGCGTAATGGTTCATCGTTGATGGTATATGAAAAAAAGGATTTAGCGATATATTTTTTTTAAAACATGGTCAAATTAATACATGAAATTATTAGTTCTGCTGTTGTTTATAAACTAAATTTTTGTTTTGATCATGTACAATCAGGATGTTTTCAAGTCATAATCAGTGTGTCCCAATGTGTGATGAACAAAGCTCATCTCTGTCCTTACCAGTGCCTGAATTCATGCACATGATACTGATGAAAGACCTCAGCAGCTAGGGTGCTGATTAAGACGCAGCCTTAGTTATTATCTTACAATTATAATCTTTTTTCTTGCAATTCAGAAAAAAGTTATGTTTACCAGGTATAATACTGCATTCCACACACAGTCAGAGGTGGGAATTTCAGCAGTGAAATGTCCCAACTCTGACCTCAGTGCATTTCAGTTGATCGCACATCACAGTCTCATTTTCATCACGTGAGATGTGGATGTTTCATAACTTTTCATGTTATTGTTCAAAATTGTTGCTAAAAAAGAATATGCTATTGTAGTTTTCATTCTCAATACAGCTGACCAAAAAAAAAAAAGAATTTATATATGGAACTAAAAAGCTAATATGATCTCATAAATAGCCTTTATTAGTAGGGTTCCCTCTCATGTGGTGGCACGTCAAATGATGAGTTTCTCCAAAGTCTGGGTTCTTCAATCTGCCCCAAGTTCACAGGTCAGATCTCAAAGTTCTAGTGATGTTCTTCTAGCAACATTTGTTCATTTGGAAGTTGGAAAAACCTCAATTGTTGTCTGGAACACAGTACAGGCTGACACATTTTAAGACAGGAACTTGCATTTGTGAGAAAGGCTCAATATTGTTAAATGTACACTCAAGTTGTCCAGAGAAAATTCTAAATTCTCAGTTATATTCCTTATTATTTATAATATAGCATTGAGAGTACGATTCTAATCTAGCCTAGAGCACCATCTGCTGTTAAAAACTAAGCTCAGATCTGATAGAGCTCTAACAAATAGATAAGACATTTTGCCAATACCACTATACTGTATACTGTATGTATATATATATATGTATGTATGTATGTATGTATGTATGTATGTATGTATGTATGTATGTATGTATGTATGTATGTATGTATATATATATATATATATATATATATATGTATATATATATATATATATATATATATATATATATATATATATATATATATATATATATACATATATATATACATACATACATATATGAAGAGTTCAGATGCAAAAAATACTAAGTGCCATCTGAAATTTTCTTCTAAAAAGAGCATTTTACTGAGACTGCTATTATTTATGTTGACTATTTTCACATTCAAGGCAATAAAAATAACATATTAATTGACATAAAAGGGAAATTACTCTCAACTTATACATAATAGCCTGAGAAAAATGCTAATTTTAGGAGGAAAATTCAGTTGGCGCTTAGAGGTTTTTGCATATATATACATATATATATATATATATATATATATATATATATATATATATATATATATATATATATATATATATATATATATATATACTAATAGCAACACTACAGGAGAAATGTGAGTACAGGCTTCCAGGGTTCATAGTATATATATCTATATATATATATATACTATGAACCCTGGAAGCCTGTACTGGCATTTCTCCTGTGGTGTTGCTATTAGTGAGTGGGAGAAGAGGGTTGCGTTGACAATCCAACACAATGGGCAGCACATTGAACACATTTTATAAGTGGTCAGAAACTTGTAAATAACTCATGAAAGAAAGAATAAAGTTATGTTTAAACCAAGCACACCATTGTTTTTTTATGTGAAATTATCAATACGTCTGATGTGTCAAATGACCCTCTCCCTATTGAAAAAACAAAAGTTGGATCCAAGATGGCCGACTTCAAAATGGCCACTACCCATCTTCAAAAGTTTGCTCCCTCACATATTCTAATCTAATGTGCCACAAACAGGACGTTAATATATATATATATATATATATATATGTATATATATATAATGCTAATATAAATTCAACTCAATGAAAACCTCACTATTCAGTGCATTTTCTTCCTTCTTGAGACATCAGCATTAATTATATCTTTTCCTTCTGAACACGTGTCCTCTGAGACTTCATCTTTTTTTATCCAGATTTTCCTTTCATCTCTGAAGAAAAAGTAATATGTGGCTGTCCCCAAAGGGCTGCTGCTAAATCACAGTCTGAATCTGAACTCATTTCCTCTCCATCATTCATTCTCCTGGAGTGTGATGTAGTGAACAGCACTCGCTGGAGGTAGACTGACTCAAAGAAAACAGACGTCACTGGTCTAAATGCAGCCCAGAGCTCCAATACACACACTGGAGGGGGAGGCTGAACTAAGCTGATACTGAGTCAGTGTGTGGCTGCAACCTGGTTCAAGTAATCCAGGATAGGCTTTGTGGACTAGGGTTGGCCTGTTCTTGGTTACTTGCACTGGGTTGCAGCTACTAAACAACTAAGAAGATCAGAAGAGGTTTGTTCTCTGACTGGATTCAGAAGTGATTGGTTTTCTGTTGTAACTGTTGTTTGTTTGGTTTGTTTGAGGATGTACACTGTATGTGCTGAAAAGGCCTCATGTGGATGAGCTTCTGTTTGTTTTTCTGTCAGTAATTGTTTGTTTGGTTTGTTTGAAGGTGTATGTGCTGAAAAGGCCTCATGTGGACGAGTTTCTGCAGAAAATGGGCGAAATGTTTGAATGTGTTCTTTTTACAGCCAGCCTGGCTAAGGTGAGATGCATGTATGATACTTTCATGTTGATGGATTTTTTTTATTTCTCTCAACATTCATTGAGAGTTTTAGTAACATATTTTTCTTATTTTATATAATTATATTTAGTTTGACAGTAAATACAATAATAAAAATATTTTTGTTTGAAATTCAAGTCATCATTTTTGCATGATTTGTATTATAATTAATTTTAATTTACAGTGAAATATTACAGTTGTACTTTCTATTAATATTATAATATTATTAATATTATTAGTAATGATAATAACAATAATTTTAATCAATAGCTTCTTTTTTTTTAAAATACATTTTATTAATTTATTTTTGCTGGATTTGAGCTATAAAAAATTGTTATTCATGAAATATCACAATGTATTTAAATAGTAAATATTAAATATTTTATGATAAATGTTAAATTACAATATATGATGGAATATCATATTACAAAAATGTATTTAAAATATGATGAAATATATAAAAATATACAGTTGATTAGCCCCCCTGATTTATTAGACCCCCTGTTTATTTTTTCCCCTAATTTCTGTTTAAGAAGTGTCTTGAAAAATATCTAGTCAAATATTATTTTCTGTTATCATGGCAATGATAAAATAAATCAGTTATTAGAAATGAGTTATTAAAACTGTTTTGTTTAGAAATGTGTTGAAAAATACTTCTCTTCAATAAAATAAATAGGGGAAAAAATAAACGGGGGGGGGGGGGGGGGGGGGGGGTTGGGGGGGGGGCTAATAATTCTGACTTCAACTGTATAAATATATTTGTATAGTGTTATTAGCCCCCGTGAATTATTAATGTCGCTGTTTATTTTTTTCCCCAATTTCTGTTCTGTTCTCTGAAAATTGTTTCAGCACATTTCTAAACACAATAGTTTTAAAAACTTATTTCAGATAACTGATTTATTTTATCTTTGCCATGAGGACAGTAAATAATATTTTACTAGATATTTTTCAAGACACTTCTATACAGCTTCAAGTGAGATTTAAAGGCTTAACTAGGTTAATTACGCTAACTATGGAGGTTAGGGTAATTAGGTAAGTTATTGTATGACAACGGTTTGTAATGTAGACTATCTAAAAAAAAATTGCTTACAGGAGCTAATAATTTTGTCCCAAAAATGTTTTTTTTTAAATTAAAAACTGTTTTTATTCTAGCCGAAATAAAACAAATAAGACTTTCTCCAGAAGAAAAAAATATTATCAAACATATTGTGAAAATTTCCTTGCTCTGTTAAACATCATTTGGGAAATATTAAAAAAAAATAATTAATAAATTAATTAAAAAGGGGTACTGATAAGTACTGGTAAGTCTTTCATTGATTAGCCCTAATTGATAGTACATGTAACCAAACCCCCTTGAGGCAAAAAGCTCATAAAGATGCTAGAAAATATATCCATCTGAATTAAACATTTTAACACAGGTGATTTGTAGAGGTGTGGAGGGTTTTATGATAAAGACATTTAATCTATGCCTTTATTTACACATAACACATACTGTTAAACAGCAGCCTGTATTTAAGGGCTGTAAATGGGTCAGTGTGGTCATCATGGTGTAATTGCTGCATTGTATTGTTACAGTACGCTGACCCTGTAGCAGACCTGCTGGACCAGTGGGGGGTGTTCAGGGCTCGGCTCTTCAGGGAATCCTGTGTGTTTCACCGGGGAAACTACGTCAAAGACCTCAGCCGACTGGGCCGAGAGCTCAACAAGGTCATCATCGTGGACAACTCACCTGCCTCCTACATCTTCCACCCAGAGAACGCTGTAAGTTCACAATCATACACACTCGATATCCTCCTGTAATGCTGCTTTTCTTTAGTCTTTACTTTTATTTTTTCCTGGTGTTGTAGTTCTTTTACTAGTTCAGATGTAGTTAGCTGTATTACTTTCCTAGATTATTATTATTATTATTTTTTCTTTTAAAGTTTTTATTTGCTTAAAGGGCCATGAAACCCCCTCGTTTCAGCAGGGTGTTTTCACACCTCTACTTTGGAAAAAGTCAGAAAAGTGGGCGTGTCCAGCTCTGTTTAGGGAGGAGTGTCGGAGGAAGAAAAGTGAAAAGGGCAAGCGCGAGTTTCAGAGTCAAAATTCACACACACAGGAGAAAGTGATGGTGTTAAACCTACATGGACATCTGTAGTCGAATTATTTGCCAAATTATTAAATGGTGGACTTTAACTGCAGTTTGGCTCTTTCATTCAGGGAATTTATTCATGCCCCTCGCGACAAACAAGATATTTGATTCGAGGAACTGCTCTAAGCGTGTATTTTTCATGCAGTGTTTGATACCGCACGGCGGATGAGAGAAAAAAAAAACCCTCAGCATTTCCCGGAAACTTAGATGCACACGGCAGGTAGTTTCAGAAAGCCGCGTGTGTTATTGCAGTCACTAATTGCAGCAAAAACCCTACACGAGGTTAAAGTTTGGTTGTGGTGCTAACATGTTTACACTCGGTGCAATAGTTTGTTAGATACGAACAAACTGAATAAACTAAGAGCACTGGTCGCTCACTTACCAAATCTGTAGAGACAGGACAATCACCAGCAACTACTAGAGCAGCGTCTTTATAAAGAGAATACTACAAGCGAATCCGGATCTCAGCGTTTGCAGATGAGAACAGCTCTCAGGTAAACAATGTTCCTCCTTAGACACGTAAGTTATTGTTGTCGAGCGTCGCGTACACTGTTAATCCACACGTGACTCTGAGCTCTCACAGAGAGAAAATGAAAGTGAAACTTAACTGCAGCAAACTATAAAAGCAACACTTCACGCTTCTTTTGCCAACACAACGTGGCGTCTTTGTCGTGTAAACACGGTGATAGTAATGAATATTAATGAAGTTGCACAATAGAGCGCGCTGATTGGTTTGAACCAAGCCTTACTCATGCATTAATGCATCACACTGTAAGACGTAATAAGACACACTCTGGCACAGACGTCCAGTCTGCACGCTGGAATACAACGCTATTATGTCATGACCGTGATGCAGCTTCAAAAATTCGTTTCAAACCGGAAGTACTAATATGCTTGAAATAACGCAAAACAACCAATTTACACTTTTTAGTGAAATATACAGATGTTACTACTTCAATGTGTTCCTTGTGCCGCCATTCATACCGCGGCGACGGCGGTACTTGATGCGCCAGCAGCATTTGACCGCTGGGTGGCACTTTAACCACAGATATTCAGCTTTGCCTTTTCACAATGCTAAACAGACTGTTCTGTAGGCGTAGCTTACTGTATGTGATGTGATGTGTTCAATTAAAATATAATTTTAATTTAGTTTTTCTGGTAATAGACATGCTCTTACACTATACACTCTCAGAAAAAAAGGTACAATGAGGGTACAATTTTGTTCCTAGAGGGAACAAAATATAAAATTGTACCTTTAAAGGTCCCATATTGGTCCTTAGGGTACAATTTTGTACCCAAACGGGCTATAAAGGTACAAATGTCCAGATTTAGGTTTGAAAGGTACATTTTTGTACCTTTTACAGCACATTTGGATACAAAATTGTACCGTAAAGGACCAAATTGGCACCTTTAAAGGTACAATTATATATTTTGTTTCCCAATAGGAACAAAATTGTACCCTCAGCTCATGATAAGATCAAGACACTATATAACACTAATTTAAATGTATTAATACTAAACATTAATACTAAAATACATAATTTAAAAATATAATAAATAAATAAATTGATTGAATTAAATATTTTAATAATTAATTTTTTTCATGTATTTAAATTGCATTTTTTCTCAAAAATGTTAATAATTTAATTTATAATTAAATGTAATTTTAATCATTAAAAACGTAAATACTGGTCTTTGCTTACTGTTTAAGTCCCTATAGTATATATGGGATGTAGAATAAGAACCATGCAGAGTGACAGCATCTTCATACAGGTGGTGATGTTGCTGTGTCTTTAAGAATTTGGCTTGTTGAGACGTTATAGTAGTGTTTGTTACTGAGGCGGTCGGTCGAGTATGCTGGCTGTTTACACAGAACTTCGCACGCTTTTCAAAGAAAAGTCTATTTTGGAGTCCACACTTTTCAGGTAAGAATGTATTAAAGATATATTTTCAGTCTCATTTTTACATGTGAAGCCGCGTATTCTGTTGATTTTGTCTGACTCTCTGGTCTCGGCTTTCCCCCGCTTTGTGCTCCGGGCTGGCTGGTGTAACGTTACGTTGGCCTGCAGGATGGAGTTTGCTAAGATGTCTGCAGCTTTTTAAAGAAGTTAATAAAACGTGATATCGAAGTCACTGAGGGACATAACGTTATAGAAGGTAAGTACTATATGCTGTTAGTTTTCTCGGTGTAAAAGTTCCCTTTATCGCCTACGTTACGTATTCGCGCCTTATATGTTACGTTACGTTACTGCTTTATTAATAAGTGTTGCCGCGGCGGAATATAATCGCAACCCAGATAGCAAAATACACTTGGGCCAGTTGCGGCTAGATTCTCGCTTGCCCGAGTTGGTCTGCTATATCGTTACTCGGGCCAGATGCGGCGGCAGAAGCGAGCCGACGCTGCCGTAACCGTGCACCGGAATCGGGCCGTGAGTAATGTGCGGTGCGGCCCGGAGCTGGCGCGACTGAAGTCTTCATATACCTTGATATAAAACCTTTTGTTATTAATACTGGAAATTTGTAATTAACGATAATGTTTTATATTTTGAGGCCATTTTCTAGCCACGGTTGACCGGAAATGTAATTTTAGACGGTTATATACACCGCCATTTTGTGAAGAAAAATCACAATTTTGTCACCGGTAAAGCGACTGATTATGTAAACGTGGCTAGTTACAAACGTGGCGTGTGTATGCTTGTACATATCTTCGTTTCAGTGTCTAAGTTACATTAATGTTGAGGAGTGTCCACAAACTCTCATGTCCAGAATTGTTGGTGCTTTACTATCGTTTAACGTTATACTTATATATAAATAAAATACTATAAATAAATAGTTATTGCTTTATCTTATTGCTTTCCAGAAGTTTTTGAAGTTTCCAATTGTCTTTTAGGAGAAGATTGAACAACAGAATGCAGCCTAACAGCATCAGACCAATGAAGGCATGTCATATGAAAGCATGGCTCAGTTACAAAATGTAAGTATGTCTCATTATCTATCCCATGGTTTTAATGGCTTACATACTATTTTAAATTTGTAGGTTTTTACTTACAAACAACAATAAATGTACACCCACGTGTTTAAAATTATTTTCTAGGTTTTCATCGAAAGATGAGAGATCAACTGAAGAATGCTATGGACCTGACTCTAAGGTACTCTTTCTAAACTTTCTCCACTTGATTAATATTATTAAATTCTAGCTTTGTGTGGATTCCTTCATATTTGTTTGTATGCCACATCTTATGTTCCAGGAATTGATTTTACAGCAGCACTTCTCATGTTGCCAGCCTTGTTAAGCGAGACACTTCAACATTTCGTTGTGCTCCGGTGCGTATGTTGTTTTCTGTTCAGTATATGCTGTGATAAATGCATTTTATAATGCTTGATATTCTTTATATTAGGATGATGCAGTGGGTAGTGCTGTCACCTTACAGCAAGAAGGTCGCTGGTTCGAGCCTCGGCTGGGTCAGTTGGCATTTGTGTGAGGAGTTTGCATATTCTTCCAGTGTTCGTGAGGGTTTCCTCCAAGTGCTCCGGTTTCCCCACAAGTATAAAGACATGCGCTATAGCTGAATTTGGTAAGCTTATTTGTCTGTAGTGTATAAATGTGTGTGTGAATAAGTGTGTCTGGATGTTTCGTAATACTGGGTTGCAGCTGGAAGGGCATCTGCTGCATAAAACATATGCTGGATAAGTTGGTGGTTCATTCCACTGTGGCGACCCCAGATTAATAAAGGGACTAAGCCAAAAAGAAATTGAATGAATGAATGAAATTTATATTAGTCTTTTAATCTGTGATACTTTTTTTTTTTTAAATCGGTGAATATTAATTATTTTACTTTCTATGCATGTTGATTTTCTCTTCATCAGTGATAGATTGACTGATATTAATGTAATTATTGCTTTGTCATTTACAGTGAACCATCTTCACCACATCCAACAGTTCAAGTACAGGAGGAGGCCACCGACTGGACAACTGTGTTAACAAGACGAGTCACGGCAGTCTTTAGAGTTGATGGGATTGCGATTGGCTGGGCTAATGATGTGGATGAATATACATTTTTGACATATCCATCTTATTAGAAGAACACCTTGATGTTTCTGCAGTGGAATGTTTTGAATGAACGGTGGACGGTGACAAGCCTCGATCTACTCCAGTTACCAGAGTGATCAACCTTGTTTTTTGTTTCTCTACATGCTCTTGGGATAAACACAATCATCAAGTTAATTCATCACACTGCTCTCATTCATGCATAAAGCAAATCTTTAAATAACTTGTGGTCCTAATGACTATCAAAGAACATTTTCCAGATATGAGTGCTTTCCATGTCATGTTTATCAAAAGCATAAACACATATTGTGTTACAACAAATTACAACTCCACTTGAGGATGATGAGGAGTAATCTACTGGTGTTGAGGAAGAGGCTACTGATGTATTTGGTTTTCTGCACTGTTGAAGCAATTTATAGAGAAACATTGCCTTCATTCAGAAATACAGAGAAAATGTTGATGACAAATTATTTATTATGACTGAGTATTCTGACTAAAGACAAATACTTTGGACTTTATAAAGTGAAGTACTTGATTTAGCCTGTGTAATGTGTTTATAAATCTTAAACAGTATTCTTGTGG